AAAACATGAGGCAAAACGGATTAGAAATGACGAATTTATCAAGCATTTTCTGTATCTCGTTAACAAAATTGACCGGGTGATTATGTGACACCGTGACAAGACACCTTAAGTGGGTACCCTTAATGTTTAACGGGGTGGTTAACGGGGTCACCTAATCACGTGATTAGGTAAACCAATCACCTGATCACACGTAATGAATAAACTCGTTATGCTTCATATCTCGCTCATCTGAGAAGCTAAGCTACACTTACAGTTCTAATTTTTTCAGGACAAACGTAATTCGAATGGCCAAACACAATTCATTAAATTTAGCTCAATCGGACTATCCAAACTATCAAATAAATGCAAAAATGAACCTTCATTTGAAAAAAATGAACTCGAATATTTTTCGATTTGACAAATTCCTCGAACCAGTGGTGGTAGTAAGTCATACCATAAAGAATTATTTCAATTGGGCACTCAGTGACTGAGCTATTAAGGCCAACGTATGTCCACTGACTTTTGGCCCACCCTGTAGTTATAGTCCATTCATGGCACACAAAGTATCGATTGAGTTTTCCTCATCGGACCATATTTATGCAGACATTAGATGGACGGATATAATTTTGGGAGGACAAAATTATGGGCGCAATTTGTTTGAACGTCCAATGTAACGTTCGACCCAATGAAGTCAGTTAATATATTTCTTAAACGTTGTGGTGCGGCGGCTTCTGTAAGCGAACGTCAATGAACAACATGACGTGGAAATCAGACTAGTTGCTACGAAACCTTCAGCATCATCGCGGCTTTAAATTAAAATTCAATTTTTAACAAAAAAGACGACTAATAAATTTACTCACAGCCGCATAATTTCTCTCTTTAGCATTAAGACACGTTTTGTGACACTTTAATCATAATGTTCTCCACAGTACCTTATGGCTTATTCAAGGCTAAATTTCTTAAATTAATTAATTTGACTTTCTTTATATAATGAGTAAAATTATTCAATACACAATAAGCAGTGGCCAAAATTATAAGCGAGCCTCCTTAATTAATTAGGGTCGCTTGTAATTATAAGCAGTATATATGGCTAAACGCTTAAAAGGTCCGTATATAAAAAGGCTATTGGATGGATAATGTTCAGAGCTGAAAACTTCGACAAACTTTTAAATTTCTCGTCGTCAATGTGATGACAAGTTCAATTGCGTTGCTAAGCGAATCACTGTTATAAACTGAACTGTATTCGGTACATACCACTGCCCACTTAATAAAAGTAAACATTTGGCTTGTTGGCTTTACAATTATAAGTCTGGCTTAATTGGCGAAATCCACGTCAAATATTAGAAAAATTGTCTTTACTGGACATATTACGTGATATCATATTTGTACTGAGAATAAGATAATGAGCTTAGACTAGTAAATGTGATGAATCATTAAGTTGAAGCTTATTTAATTAATTGAGCAAGCAAAGACAAAAATAAAAGTACTTAAAGAGGAACATTCCACAAACAACCGAAAGAACTAGCAAAAGCAAAACATGCAGGCCTGGTCCTCAAAAACAGCTCATTGTACTCTTATTATAAGCATTGATCCCGACTAATAAGCAACAAGCAGACGCGGAAGTGGGTACTCGAGAAGCTAGAAACTATAAGCCTTATTATAAAGTTTGGGCGTACGATAGAAGCTAAATAATTGGTATAATGATCGGAAACACTGATATTATACTGATAGCTCCAGCTAGTTCCCCCTCCCTGGTCCCTTACCCGGTACTACAGAGCAATACTATTGGACCTACAATAACCATTATATTTGTTAATCTAGTATAGCAGTGTAGCTTCCCTAGCCACAAAGCTAGCCGTACATCAGTACCATTATAATTTGGTGGTGCCACGATATACTGATAATAGTACAGTATTACTATTAAACGTCTACAAGTTGTACACAATGTCAGGTAAAATACGGTGAGTTTGCGCGTTATCTGAGTTACTGAATGGAGCCTAATTTGAAGTTTATATATCAGGTCATTGGTGGTCAATTATAAAACAGGCTCCGGTTATAAACAACAAATGCTTGTGTGTCTCGTAAATTTGGTATCATAATATACTCGCAGATTTAAACAGTAATGTAAAAGAGTAATGATGTAAATAAATCCCTCAAATTTCAAAGGAACGGCTATTATCCTTACCGCCTCAACATCAGCCTCGATCAAAGCACAGAACTCGGAATTTGAGTGCTTCTGTCTCGGAGTTGGCAGAGACCACTGTTAGAGAATCAGAATACATCGCGGTATGGTTAAAGAATACCACTCCTTCTATCGTCACATAATTATTAACGCTAAATATAACCGATCTATGCTATCTGCCTCCAAGCACACGTGAGAGATTCAGTCAAACTACAGTTATTTTTGAGACGGCTAAAAAAATTGTTGTCTCAAGAGTCAGGCCTAAAGAGAAGAAGACAACTAACTGTGGATAAACGTCATGAGGTAAAGCTGAAGTATAGTTTGTAGTTGGTAGAAGCTGTTGACATAAAGCAACACTCGCAACACCTTGCTAAGCAGATGCTGTCCCCGCGAGCCAGGTGCTGGTATTGAAAAGAAAACTATTTTTACTGTTACCTATTTAGTAGTAGTATCTAAGCAGCATCGGCACACGTGGCAAAGGTATTAAATAATTCAAATTTCAGTAGAACAGCTGTATATTATTCTACCCTGAAAGAGATTAATCCATTTCACAACGTCAGTTCGGTCTGATTGTTGATTTAGTCGGATTATTTAAACGCTTCTACTAATTTCAAGATCGTGTAAACTATCACACTAACTGTTAACGTGGCTACTGAGATCTGTCCAGCAAGTATAAATAACGATTATCCAATCATTACCACGCACCTCTGTCTAGAATACAAATGGGATGTTGTTAAAGCACAATTTGTATGTACTTTGTACAAGAGGTGTTAATTATGTGATTGTTATCGGCCGGCTAACGTAGGAAAATTTAATATATGTAGTGTTACTTTCTGGAAGGACAAGTTGACAGACCAACAAACATAAACGATCTAATTAGGTCTTGGGTTTCTTCAATTATAAAATACTAGAGCTTTCTGAGACAATATCTTTAACCAAAAGGCGATATCGAACCAAAAATATAATGACATATAATAGAACTAAGACGACTCCATAATATCTACTCCACCTTACAGAGACGAGATATCTTACCGAAACAAGATTCTCATATTAAAACAACCTGATGAATGATACGTTGAAAGATAATTGTTTCTTCTATGTAGCTGCTAGAAGAAATAATTACCTTTCGACCTATCATAATATGCGGCTAATAAATAATCGCCTAATCAATGATTAGGCACATATTAGGTGCGATGGGTGCGGGATCGCACAATTTACCGTTTTCCGCCCATTTCCGCATAATTTATTGTTTTCCGCACATTTCCGCACATTTTGTAATTTTCTGCATATTTCCGCATAATCTAGCATTTTCCGCGTAATTTCGCATAATTTTGAAATTTTCGCGTTAAGATTTTCGAGTGTAAAAACCAAAATATGTTAAAAGTCGGGCCCTTTTAGGACCATGACTCAGGCCCTTTCGGGACCCTGACCAAGGTCCTTTCGGGACCGTGACCCAGGCCCTTTTGGAACTCATACCTAGGCCACGTGACCCAGTTACCACGTGACCCAGGCCCTTTCGGGACCTTGACCCAGGCCCTTTCGGGACCGTGACCCAGGCCCTTTTGGAGCTCATGCCTAGGCCACGTGACCCGGTTACCACGTGACCCAGGCCCTTTCAGGACCTTGACCCAGGCCCTTTCGGGACCGTTACCCAGGCCCTTTCGGGACCGTGACCAAGGCCCTTTCGGGACCGTGACCCAGGCCGTTATGGAACCCTCGTCGTTACCGTACTTCGATTATAGTGTATCAGTTAACATTCGTAACTTCACCACAATATCTGATTACTCTATATTACATCACAACGTCATGGACCGTTATGAAAAATTTACCGCACCTTACCGCACATTTTACCTTTATAGTCGAGTGCGGTACCGCATAATTTCGATTTTTTTTACCGCACCTAATATGTGCCTCTGCTAATCATTCAACTTGATGCACGATAATATTATTGTTTTCCTGCGGAAATGCAAATAAAACCTGAGGCGACTCGTCCTTTGAAAACAGATCGTGCCATGATGTCGTAACGAGACGATGCATTCCGTACCGAAACAGCATTTCACTGGCCAAGACGGCATATCGTGTACCAAAAAAACATATCACTCGGCCGTTCCGAGACAACTTTATCTACCAGAAACGAGAGCTGTCTCTACAGCATCGAAGGGAGAGGTTTATTCTACTTAGTACTTCATATGTGGAAGATTCTCCATCACCAATTACCAGCAACGACATTGACTTGCAGTTTGTCTCCAGGCCACGTTTTGGAAACCTTGCGGTCATTCCATCTGCATTCTGCATGCAGACACAGTTTAGCAGCAAACCAGCCACTGTATGATAATGCAGTCATAGGCCCAAAATTGTGGAATGCAATGCCGTACTATCTGAATTGCATCGGCGACCGGGAGCGTTTCAAATCGCAGATCGGCCAGTTCTTGCTATCTCTTACCGATACGCCGCCTATCAGAGGCTACACTCCTCAGAACTCAAACTCGCTGCTTTGCTAAAAGATTGACACAGAGATCTCCTCTCTAAGCTTAACGAGTTTCAACATAGGTGACATAGGTAGGCGACTAAGAGCAAAATGTGTTGCCGGTTGCGTTGCATTAATTTTTCTTCGGTTCAGGTACATATTATAAAACAGTCAGAATTAAGCAAGACCGAGTCGAAAATTCCACGAAATGCAATTCTATTTTCATATATGTAGCACTCTATATTGTTGGTTTTTAACCAAACCCTGCAATTATAGTGGCTTCGAGTCACGATTCTTTAAACACACCGAGACGCACTGTGTTTCTTCAGTTGTTCGAATTTCTAGCGGTCGCGGTTTCGAGATTTTTAAAAATTAAATGTCCTAATTAAGTGAGAAAAAGCAAGTAGTAAGGGACAATTAGCATGAATATATAACCTTTCGAGAAATAATTTGCCTAAAGCATTTTTGTGTAGGAATGTGTTGTCCATAGTCTCAGGAACCACCCCAAAGATTTATACAAGTAGATATGATGGGCACAACTAGTTAGACCATATCTTCTCCAGGTGCAGTGTGCACTAGCCACTAATAGCACACTTTTAAAATGTGTTCAGATTTGGGCGAGCAATTTAGTAGAAGCAAAACAAGACAGACAATTTCGTTCTTATTATCAAATGTATGACATCTTACTGTAGTTGATAGTATAGTTTAACAGTTGAATAAAAATACTATTTTGTCTTATACCATTCCATTTAACAGTCAATTTATAATAGTGCATAAACATTAGACAGTCGTCATGTTCATAAAACCGTTCTTTTCTCGTTGAAAACCTACACTTGGGCGTGAAATCTGAAATATGCAGTCGGCAGATCTGTTGTAGCTGGACTTGTCAATAGTTCTTCAAACAGGTTTCAGTAACAACTTGGAAACTTCCTCTGAGAGTGGCACCAATCTGTGGCAATGATTAAGGTTAGAAAGTAAGCGATTATATATGACTATGGACTAACGTTGATTAACCTATGCAACATCCTGCAATCAGTTCTTAATTTATGGAATTCGTTAGAGCTTTGAAAAAGCGTGTATAAATTGACGTCGCGAGCGCGTGCGCCGCGCCCCAATAACAATACACTAGCTGCTAAAAAATGCGCTTTAATCATACGCAAAACATTGCGCGTTACAGAAATTAAACTATGATCATGGACAGACTCTATTTTGTGACACATGGTGATATCTTTATTAGATAGAATTATGTCTCCAAATTCCAATATGTTAATTTCGAAGCAGAGTTAATCAACTAACGTTGGAGAAGAAGATTTGACAGCAAGCACAGCTTTATTGAGTTGTTCTTTTGTAGAGGCTATCATACTCTTCAGTAATACGGGATCTGTACTTATCTGAAGATGACTTTGTTACACACTACTAGATCAATCATATAATATAATTGTCTCCATGTGATAGAAATAAGGTACATTTTATAGTTTGTCAAGAAAATGTAGTACCATCATTGATATTAGAATTTTTCGAATACTCACAATCCGTTTTAATATTTTGAGGGTCGTTTTGACTCTGTTATCATCTTTATCTTTTAATGACTCCACCAAAATATCCTGGAAAATTTAACGTTATTCTTCGCATATACATCAACTGGAGTTTCTAAAATTGAAGCTAATTCAAGAACTGTTAAATTGATCCTTTCTTTTTCAACAAAGTGTACCGTAGAGTATATTGCCGGGTAAATGTACTAATTATCAGTGTTCAAATATAATACTTACAACATTGTAAGGGGTTAAGAAGTCCCTGTACTGTCCCCCATATAACTGCGTGATAGAAAGTAGAGCTGAAGGAGCAGTGGTGTAATGATACCACACCAGTAACACTCCACACGTATTTACTACACACTGACTTGACCGCAGTATCTCTTCTCCGCTTGATTTGTTCTTAGTCTGAAGGTGGATAGTCAAATTACACAACAGTTGGATGGGTTTTATCGGAAAATTAGTGAGAAACTAATGAGAGCTAATCGGATGAAACGGTATAAATCAGGTTCAAACTCAGGTTCATACTTCACATAAATACAACATGTAAAATACAACATGTAAAATAAACGTAGGTACCTGTAAAGCTGTCTTTACGACGCTCATGATATAGTTGAGGAGAGCAGAGAGACACTTGACAGCAGCGAGAATAGTCGGCTCACCGCTATTAGCACTCACCCCTAGTTTCAGTATCAACAGACTCAACTGTTCGTGCACGCCTGGTGGGTTATTGGTGGGTTATTGGTTATACCGAAAAAATCAGCCCCGTAACTCTTACCGTTTTCTTGATTAAGCCGTTCGGAAACTACCCACAGACAGACAGACACACAAACAGACAGACGTCAGACACAACACATCTTGAGATTATTATTATTGATACCCCATTTTCACGCTCTCACGAGAAGCGATTGCAAGATATCTCAGCTTCTGAGTGGAGATAAGCGTTCTATTCATCATAGGCATTAAAATATTTTAATATAGTAAAATCGGATTTTTGGCGATTTCTCAAAAAATAAGTCTCTTAGGCCTTAAATGTGTTCATAGCACTAATATAAACATGCATCTTAGGCACATTTTGGTTCATACCTGAGTTTTGTATCTCAATCAGAAGCTGAGATAATTTATAGTGGGGGTCGCGATATGGGTGCGGTAAAAAAGGGCGTGATTCCGAGAAAAAATGTATCCGAGTAAATAGTGTTATTATATACCTGGTCATATAATAAGTCGGATTACATCGAGAAACTTAGCGGACGTCCCAGTGTGCGGGACTTTTTCCAGGTACAGGATTAATTAGTATATAATAATTAAAAGTCACATGAACAGTTGTAGGTATGATGTAAGTAAACTGTACTACGAAGCTTACCAATAGTGTAAAGCCAGGAAAAGTCAACATTAGTTGCAGTCATGAAAGTACCGAGAGTGTCCAACATTAACAAACATATTCCCTCGTCAGGATCCACGTCTTTCATTAGCTCAACTAACGCTGTTACAATACCGTACTCTTCTAGTGGCAACTGAGTGGAGTCACCAATCAGTTATAACTTTTGCCAGGTACAGGATTATATAAATATAGTTACAAATTATAAAACTATCGTTTCATGTTAATGACATTTGATAATTAATTAAGGATTAAACAAAATTATGAGTTTTCTCTTTGAGGCTTGACCCACTGCAAGATTTATCAATAAAGTGGTAAATAAAAAACCATAAAGTGATAAATAAATTGGTAAATAAGAAACCTGAGGAAGTACAGAGAGAAGAGGCATGATAATCCTGAGAGCCAGGGTAGGAAGGGGAGGAGTCTCCAGTAACATTTCCTGTATAACAGGCAGCACGTGCTGTGTGTACAGTGTGGAGAGCTGCGCAGCATCTAGCACGTGCACTGCGCGCTCCGTCGTGCGCATGCACAGTTGTACTGCTACTCCTCGGTAGTCTCCCTGAAGTACCATATTGTGATGATTCATCAGATCCCGACTTTTAATTTTACTTGATACATGATATTGGAGGAGAAGTTCATTATTGAATGATCTTCGCAATTAACATGAGGCTGAACTTTTATCTGAAACAGACAAAATCTGTTTCACATCACTTAATTAAGTTTAAAGTTTATTTGATACCTCTAGATCAAAACTACTTCTCGTAACATAATTTACAAGTCTTTTGTTGTACAGGAATAAAGTTTACAAGTCCTTTGCAGCCTTACCCACGTGTTGAATTAACAAAAGGAAGGCAAACAATTAAAAGAGCAGTTAAACCGATTGTCTTCTTAACTTTCCCCGGAATTGGCGGCTCTATACGAAGTTAGCACAACACTGTAACTAGCTTTATAAGCTAATAATGTTAAATTGTCTATCATTTGTAAAGTGTTAAAATTACTGTTGTTTCTAACCATGTTCCTTTTTTAGGCTATAGAGATGTAATTTTATTTACGAAGATATCACCTACTTGATGCCGTTTCATTACTTATCCAATTTATCAGCTTTATAAGCTAGTTCTCAGTAAAACACTAAGAAACTAGAACCATGTCTCTGCTTTTGTTACTATTTGTGCTTGCTGAAGCTGCCTACGCTGGCTACGGACCAGTACCAGGACAAACATACCTCCTGAAGGACACGGGTACTGGCAAATATTTGGTGCTAATGGGAGAACAGGAGGACATTAGACACAAAAGAGGGGCTGAGCACAGCTACAAGAATCCCGTCAGGAACTTTACTGTTGTGTCAGGTATGGACTGTAAAAATTAACACAACCCTTCCTAACTTAGTAAACTTCAGTTTATCATATTTCCTATGGATCTATTTTTTCCATTCACACCCTTTTGTAAAAAGGCAATAGTGAAAGGTTACGAATGGACGTATAAAAACGTGGATTTTGGAGATTGCAGTAGGTGGGTTTAAATATGTCGTCTGTCCTTCCTTGTGTCCGTTACCATGACAACTAGACAATTAAACGCGCGCAGCGCACAAGGGTTGCTTGCGGAGATGTGATGTATATTTTAATTTATTAGGCAATAAACCCAATTTGTATGTAATGTGACACGCGTAGTATAGTGTACTGATGTGTACAATTATAAAACATATAACATGAGTATAGTTCACTTTTTGCTTACAAGTTCCTAAATTACAGATACAAATTAAGTTAGTCTACGGCAATTGAATTAAATCACAAGTGTTTCCCTATTTAAAACATAATGTTCATATTATGAAGTGAGCTGATTAGAGCTTGTAGTTGTAGTGAATGGAAATCTAGCGTCCGCCACAACGAAACAACTGGCGCAATTCTTGTTTAAATTACTTTTTGAATTTTTGATAAAAATCTTTTTAGATCATGAATACGATGTTGTTACATTGAAACGTAGATCATTCCCTTATCCTATAAGAGCCTTTTATATGTCACAGTAAACGGGAACACTACTAATTTTGCCCCAGAATCTTTTTTTGACGAGATTATAAAAATTGCATAACAATTGGTAGGTTTTAAACCTGGTGGAAGAATGGGAGATGATGAAGTACCGACTAAAGATCAGGGACTGTTTATCTTCAGAAAACTAGACGGAGATAACTGGTAGGTAACCTAGTATAATTATACTGTATTTAAAGGATGATTCAAGCCTTTAGAAAAAGTCTTAATAAAGAAATATGAAACAAATCTTGAGCCGAATTCCGACGTTAACAGTTCAAATTCCTGAACGACACTGAACTATTTCCGACCCGCAGGTATATAGAACACGCAAACACAGGCCGCTACATGCTGGCCCCAGACACAGTAGATATCAGAAACAGGAGGTGTCAGGATCAGGGGTGGTTAGAGGCTTCAGGGACCAGAGCTGCTGATATGGATTACTACGGCCTGGCTACCTATAAAGTTAGGGTCTGGGCTAACGGATGTAAGTGATTCATTTACTGAGACTCATGTTAATAATCAATTTAATACATCCATAGATACAATAAGTTTATTTAATACAGATTGAGGGTAGATAATAATAATATAAATTAATACATTGCTATTCAATTATAAATAGTTTTTATATGCATTTTATGACCTCCTCTTGAAAGCTTGATTGTGTTTACGATCTTTTATATTTGTATCTAGTCCATTATTATAAACTAAACTGGTCGTTATTTCAGTGTATTTGGAGCACGCCAGATCAGGCCGGTATGTGATAGCAACAGGGGAGAAAGAAAAGCCAGGACCCTTTACAGCAGTAAATGCTGACTGTAACTACTACTACCGTGCCCTCTGGAAATTCATTGAGGCTTAGACTCTTACAATATTATATGGGACTTTTTTTCGAAGATTTTACTTTCATTCAATCGATCAAATAGTTTATGAGATTAAAAACAATAGAATGGCATCTAAAATTCGTTACTAGTTTCGACAAGGTTGTTTTCACATTATAACTTTCAGAACTTCTTTTAAATGCTAACTAAACTAAAATCTACTGCTCACCTGACATTTACAGAGGTTGCCAATTGTTGGAACTGCTTGTTCACAACTCATATGAGGCAGACAAATCTCTGACAGCGAGAGTAGAGTAGATAGAGTGTCCTCTACCAGACCAGGGCTGCCTAGTCCTGTATCTCCTGACTGTATCCCTGGTACCTAGGATAGGATAGTTAGAGTAGAAAGAGTGTCCTCTACCAGAGGGCATTCGGATACAGTTTATAAGTTAATAATTTTCTAAGTTGTAAATTACTAAATATCTAAATTAAATAACAAATTATCATCTTAAAATTATAAACCATCTTGAGAATATCACAGAGTTGGTCCATGTTGACAACAGCCAGGGCCTGGTTGGAAAGTGGTCTACTAGTTAGCAAATGTAGAATAGTGGGTAATGAACTGAGGGAGCTGTTCAGATCTTTTAGTTGGTTGGAGTTGGGGTTCCTTCTGTTTTCTACTTTCTTCAGTGATACTTCTACTTGATCTGAGAGTTGTGATATCATAATACATTTGATAGATAGTTCTCGATATCAATTGGTATGGCAACTGGCAAGGTATCTGACTTGTTACTACTGGTAACCATCGACTTAGTGAGCGGATCAATAAATTTTAATTAATTCAAAACAAAATGGGAAGACAACTTCAAGAATTATATCTAATCCTCAATTATAACAGAAATATAGCTGATACAGCTGAATATAGCTGATACAGCTGAATATAGCTGATACAGCTGAATATAGCTGATACAGCTGAATATAGCTCATTTGAAAACTGACCCAGTAAAGTAGGTATAAAAGAGAGAAGAGCGTGAGAGAGATAAGCTAAACACTTGCTGGAATAATCTTCTGACACCCTCTTTAGTTCCCGGTCTAACGTTTGTATCAACCTGAGTAATACAATGTAAGACAGTGTCGCCTGATTCACACATACATTACTAGTTTCTGTTGTACCTATTTTACGAATCGTTCGCTCTGTCGTTAGTAAAAGGTATTGCTTATCTCCAACTTGTTAGTTTTAAACATAAACTTTGTCGCTTATAATTGGGTTAGAAATATAATTTTTCATTTCATTAGACCGAATCATTGTCCCACTAGCAACCGAATCATTGCCCCACTAGCAACCGAATCATTGTCCAACTAGCACTAGATTTAAAAGCAAGATTTAAAAGTTAGTGACTTACTTGAGGTTACAAGCAGCTACAAGAGCATCGTTACCCACAAGTAACAGTGATATCAAAAGGGCAGCAAACGACCTGGAGAAGATTCGCTTATGTTACATAGTTTCAAATAAAACACTTCATAGTTAGACAGTTTCAAAATGACAGTATCAAACCGAACAAATCATAAGTTGGTTACATGGAAACTAATTCAGGCATCCTCGGGAAGTCGGAAGAACATAAAATTAGAGAAAAGGTTGAAAATAATTTAAATAATAGTTTACCAGATAATTATTAAACTACAACAGAGTTAGTAGTTACATATATTTAACACTACTTACCTACCAAAGAAACATTCTAACCTAACTTAAAACTTACTTTGACAAAGAGTGAGGGTTGCCCATGAGGGTGATAGCAATGGAGAGTAGGTTTCTGTCTGATAGTATGCGTTTACATGTTGCGTTAGGTTTATTCACGGTTAGTCCTTGTATCACGAAGTTCAGGATCTCTTTCTGGAATGAAGCGGAAATTAGTGTTAATCGCGCCGTTAATTAATAGCCTTAGATGAAGATTCTTAAACAGGGGTATCAGAGAAATTCTTAAGGATGACTTTAAAATAACCCTTACTACCGTCTTGAAATATTCCAAAGATTTCCTTTTTCGAATACCAGTCGAATTTTAATTTAATTAAATGTGTAAGTTAGTATTCGCTATAGATCACGTGGTTGTATCAGATCACGTGCTATAACTAGCTGATATCACGTGACACACTCAACCATTCACCAACTCTCATTAACCTGCACAGAGCTAAGGACTGCTGATCATCTGACCCGTCCTGAAATCTGATAAGTCCTCGTTTCATCACGTGATCTCATCAAATGGGGTGGTATATAAGGCAGGTCTCATTATATCATACTGTTTATCTAATAATTGCTAGCTACTCTTCACCAACACCTGCTTGATACTATCACATCTTCTTACTACAACTACCTTAGTTCCAGCAACTACCCCTCACTCTCTACCTCACACAAACTAACCTGCACAACAGTCAACTATCCGGAATGTTCCCTTCAGACTCTCCGATTTCAGACCCTTCCTCTCCTCATGATATCTTACAGAGCGTGTTCTCGTTCTACATCAGAGAACCCACCAACATCAACCCCTTCAATCCTAACTCCTTTAACCCCACCTCAATGTCTACTCCCAAGAAGACTCACCACGTGTCAATGCCTACTCTCCCTGCTAGACCTCCCCAACTAAAACTACACAACCTCTCCCTGGACTCCAAGAAGAGGAGGAAGAGTGCTCCTCTTGAGAAGACGCCCTCTTTCCGTCCCTTCCTGATCAGAATACAGAGCAGTGCGGGTAGTCTGGAGAGAGATACTGTCAGCAGAAAGGAGTTTAGTAAACCCAGCAGAGGGAGACGTTCTATTGGGGTTCAGAGGACTAGAGCTGAGAAGAAGGCTGTGTCCTTGTTGAAGTTCTTTACTCTGAGTTTGAAGAGGAAACTGTCCTGCAAACCTTCCGCTATAACCAAGCAACGAGCTTATTACTTTATTTAATGAACTAATTGGGACTCATTTTTTGATGTTTTTGTACATATTGTTATATTATAATGTGAATTGATTTAATGGATTTTTTGAAATATTTCGTCACAAAATTGTCTGATACCTAATAAGGATCCGGATGACTTTAGAATAAGAATGACTTTAGAATAAGGATGACTTTAGAATAAGGATGACTTTAGAATAAGGATGACTTTAGGATAAGGATGACTTTAGAATAAGGATGACTTTAGAATAAGGATGACTTTAGAATAAGGATGACTTTAGAATAAGGATGACTTTAGAATAAGGATGACTTTAGAATAAGGATGACTTTAGAATAAGGATGACTTTAGAATAAGGATGACTTTAGGATAAGGATGACTTTAGAATAAGGATGACTTTAGAATAAGGATGACTTTAGAATAAGGATGACTTTAGAATAAGGATGACTTTAGAATAAGGATGACTTTAGAATAAGGATGACTTTAGAATAAGGATGACTTTAGAATAAGGATGACTTTAGAATAAGGATGACTTTAGAATAAGGATGACTTTAGAATAAGGATCTGAATTTAATACCCTGAATCAAATCATCTTAGTCCAGAGTTAAATCACAATATGCCTTGCATAAACTACTTGTTCAACCCATAATATATAAAACTGTATTCTAACTCCTTGACGGTAAAATAACATCACAAAGAGTTAATCAGTCCTGCATGACGGACAAATATCTAAAATAAATTAAAAGATGTAAAAGTATAACGCTTAGATTATCTTTCACGCTCACGTTAGATGCTAACATTGGATCTTTGTAAAACAGCGAGGACCTATTTAACCCATTTTTTCTTAAAGCCATTGTATTAGAAATAATAAAAATAAATAATACTAATAGGAAATAAAATCACGAGAATCCAGAACTCATTGTAGCTACTACTCTACTATAAGTGAAATTCCCATGGTGCATTAGTTCCTAATAAGAACATCAAGTTTTTAGGATACAAATATTGGTAAAGTTTAAAAATAGGAAATAAAGTCGCAACAATCCAAAAGTCACTGTAGCTACTATAAGTAAGATTCTCACAGTGCATTATCTTCGTCAGAGATAATTTGATACAAAAGAGCAAGTTTCCTAGTATTTTTCCGCAGTTCATTTCGGGATCGTATAGTTAGTTCGTTTCCTCCAAATCCTCGTAAAGTTACGCTGCAGAACAATGATCTGGACTAATAATATGACTACTGCTAACTCGCCTAGCCCAGTACCTCCATAGTTTTTGACGGTCATTACTTTGGCTATCAGTATATATCCCCAATCAACATCACGATTGCTCTTTATATCATGATCCAGAACTCTGTGATCATATATGATTACCAAAAGGACTGGAGAGGGATTTCTTGCCGATTCTTCATTCTGATTGGTGCTGTGGACATTGGAAGTGCGTGTTTTGAGATAGGACGAGGCTCAATATCACTACTGTGCTTGAAGGACCCTTCTATGATGATGCATCCTTGGACATTTCTGGTCTGCCAAAAGTTTGGTGTACTCTGCTACGTTACTTCGACGTTTTGTGTTCTTGTGCTAACGGTTGTGAAGACTATTAACATAATGCGTCCATTTTACACGCAGAATAACCGACTTTTGAAAATAGTCCTCTTCATTTACCCGTCCATTCTCCTGGTCGTGTGCATTATTGATGTTTGGGAGTGGAATGATGTCATAACTAGTATTAATCATAGCCCAAAATGTGGTGTTGGTATGGACTGTGGGTCCATGGAACGTTATCACTGTAATAGAAACAATTGGAGAGGCACAACATCTCTTGTACTAAGGTTGATGATGCGTTACTTTGCATTGTCTCATGGCGCAGCAAACCTCATGTGTTTGATATCATGGGCATAGCTGTGCCTTTAGTTCAGTTTGGTCTGCCTTGCTTGATCGTGCTTGTATGCATGGTTCTTTAGATGATCTATATAAAGAAAACATTTGGAAGTCACGAAAACCCACAGCTGAACACTGCAAACCAAGTTAACTTAACAGTGTTTCTAATCTCGTTACTGTACTTGTGTAGCGTCTCTTTGTACTATATTGTGACATACCCCTTGATACTGTATATTGCTCCTGTATTGCCAATACCCATTCTGGTAATGTTACAATTCACACTTCCTCTGATGAACGCAGCACTGTTCCCAACCATCCTGATCCTACGTAAACCGGAAATGAGAGCAAGGTACAGAAACTACATAGCAAAAGTTCTCCTTCTACCACTCACCATCTATGAAAAAGTTCGTCATCTGGCTCAAAGAAGACGAGGATATACAGAGATCGGATCAGAACTCCCTACATAGTACATACTCGGCAAAATTTTGTATCTGGCTCAAAGAAGACAAGGGAATATACATTATACAGAAATCTGATCAGAACTACTTTATACATTTGATCTCCATCCTCTTCCCACATTAAGTGATTATTTTCGTTTTATAAATATAACTCTGATTTGGGCGAATATTTAGATTTTCAATGATTAAAATGAGTGATTAAAATTATCGATTTTGTCTCACGTCACGGGCCGCTCTACGTGCTGCGTGGGGCAAAATTGATTAAGATGATTGGTTTTAAACATTTACAAAAAGTAAAAAAAGTATCGATTTAAGATGATTATTGATTAGTTAAAATGATCGATGAACAATGAAAAGCCTGTACTGGAGCAAATTTGATTAAGATGATTGTTTTTACATTTTTTTTAAATAAAAAAAGGGAAAAAATAAACAAAAATGTGATTGTTAAGAAGATTGACCAAAATGATATTCGTTCCATTGATATTCGAATTCATTTCTATTTTAGGTGATCGGTAAAAAGGATCGATGAACTATAAAATGCCTAGGGGGCAAATTTGATTAAGATGAATGATTTTTAAAATTTTTAGAATTTTTAAAAGAAAAAAAAGTGATTGTTAAGATTATCGGCAATAATGATATTCGTTCGATTGAGATTCGAATTCATGTCTATTTTGTGGCAACTTAAAGGAGATAATATATTTGCTATTATATCCTTAAATTAACTGTCTGAATATTAGTATATATTTCCTTTATCGGTTGACTGTCATAATTTGTTTCCAATTTCCAAATAAATTCGTCTCCATGATCTGTGATCACAATTTTTCTTGTCAGATTCCGATCCTTATGGCATACCAAATAAATACATAAGAGCCCTACATAACTACCAGTTACATAATTGTTATATTAAGCGTGTGTTTATAAATTACATACATGTAATTCTCATGATTTGTACATATTAGTGCTTTTCATGCAACTATATATGTGATTCTCATGATTTGTATTTCATTTTCTTTTTTCTACAAAATGAATAGTCATTGTATTAATAAACTATTCAAATTTTTTTCTAAAAAGAAGTTTGAGCTTGAGATATCGGAGTGTATAGCGGCCTAGGGACACTAACAAACCCATAAAAGATGAAAATAACCGGAGCATAACATTTCCATAATTAATATCTACGCAACCTATCAACATTCAACAATAACATGGTTTCAAATGTAAAGGGAACGATGTTCAGGGCCAAGTAACAACTTTCATATAGTTGGATATATTATCCAGAATTTACAATTTCACCACGCATGTGTAGGAATACAAAGAAATGCGGCCGCTTTTCTTTTGTGGATGGCCGCTCAATTTACCGGTCAGTGATGGCGTATTTTATCATATTCCATACAACCTGGGGACACCAGTCTTTATACTTTTTATAAGCATGCAGATGTTGCGGAGTAACAGGCCGAGCGCCACCCGGTCCGGGTGGGGTGCATATCCCTTAGGATTCTGGAACCATTTCGCCATGAAAATCACCAAGATTTTCATTTTCTAATACCGGTCAAATTTAATGGATAAACAATTTTTAATAAATGTGTAAGTTAGTATTCGCTATATATCACATGGTTGTATCAGATCACGTGCTATAACTAGCTGATATCACGTGACACATCCGACCAGTCACCAACTCTCATTAACCTGCACAGAGCTAAGGACTGCTGATCATCTGACCCGTCCTGAAATCTGATAAGTCCTCGTTTCATCACGTGATCTCATCAAATGGGGTGGTATATAAGGCAGGTTTCATATCATACTGTTAATCTAATAATTGCTAGCTACTCTTCACCAACACCTGCTTGATACTATCACATCTTCTTACTACAACTACCTTAGCTCCAGCAACTACCCCTCACTCTCTACCTCACACAAACTAACCTGCACAACAGTCAACTATCCGGAATGTTCCCTTCAGACTATCCGATTTCAGACCCTTCCTCTCCTCATGATATCTTACAGAGCGTGTTCTCGTTCTACATCAGAGAACCCACCAACATCAACCCCTTCAATCCTAACTCCTTTAACCCCACCTCAATGTCTACTCCCAAGAAGACTCACCACGTGTCAATGCCTACTCTCCCTGCTAGACCTCCCCAACTAAAACTACACAACCTCTCCCTGGACTCCAAGAAGAGGAGGAAGAGTGCTCCTCTTGAGAAGACGCCCTCTTTCCGTCCCTTCCTGATCAGAATACAGAGCAGTGCGGGTAGTCTGGAGAGAGATACTGTCAGCAGAAAGGAGTTTAGTAAACCCAGCAGAGGGAGACGTTCTATTGGGGTTCAGAGGAATAGAGCTGAGAAGAAGGCTGTGTCCTTGCTGAAGTTCTTTACTCTGAGTTTGAAGAGGAAGCTGTCCTGCAAACCTTCTTCTGATTCCGCCAGAACTAAGCAACGGGCTTATTACTTTATTTAGGAATATTATATAGGTTTTTATACGGATGTTTTTGTATGTATTATATCTGAAAATTGATTTAATGTTTTGACTAATTTTGTAACAAAAATTAGGTGTTTTACTGACAGTTATTATGCAAATTATAGAAAATATAGATCTTCTCAATTGAGAAAAACCTGTATGTAAGGCTGAGACTTGTTGAGGTTGTCGAGAACGTTGACAAGTCCTATCTTTGATATGACGTGGGTCAGTAGGGTAGGTTGGTATGCGGTCATGTTGGTCAGAGCTCGTACATAGGTTATGTAGGCTGAGTCTGTAGCTGCTTGCTTCATCTGAAGCTTCCACAGTGACAGCGCTATCGCATCTGATTGGTAAAGCAACTATTTGAATTATGTAACGTGGATACTGGTGGTGAGGTAAACTATGAACTTTGTAGCTATTATAACTGAATGATTAACAAAATAGCTATTATTTACTAAATTATTAACTAAATAGTCATAACTAACTGAATGATCAAGTAAGCGGCTATTGTACGTGGATTATTAATTCAATTGTCATTATTCATTTAATTATTAATCAAATAGTTTTAATAAACTGAATTATTTAAATAGTTACTCTAGCTGAATCATTAACTAATGAACTATCATCAGCTGAATAATCAATTATATAGCTATCATATTAAGAAAGCAGCCATTATACCTGATTTATTAATTTTAATGGCCATTATAAACTGAATTATTAACGAAATATAACTGAACCAAAGGGCCGGGATCCTCGAAACATTATAATAACCATTCACTAGTACTAACCTTGAGATAACTGTTTATTATACTGACTGTTGACACTACAAACGTTCTCCACTATTTTAGCAGCGCATAGTTGAGTGTGAAACTCCTCCCCTTCGCGTAGACACCGTGTTATACACACGAAGGTGCTGGCTGGGATACTCCAGTTACTGTTAACTCCGTCTGTTTCTTCCTGGTAGTGGAGGGGAAATTATTAAGTATTTAAAGTATTGTGCGAACACCTGAACATGGGGGTGTAAGGAGGGTGTAGTTTCTCTTCAGTATTCAGTATTCAGTATTCAGTATTCAGTATTCAGTATTCAGTATCAGAATTTCGGGTTATCACCACACAATTGGAAGTAAAACTGTTTCATATCACATTGTAATGTACTTACCTGACTGGCGATGTAGAAGATAAGTTCCCCTAAAGAAGCTAGAGTATAGAGTCTCACTGAAGGGGATCTGGAACTGTCTCTTAGGACGTCCGTCAGTATTGTAACACATTCACCTGTAACACGTCCGTCAGTATTGTAACACATTCACCTGTAACATGTCCGTCAGTATTGTAACACATTCACCTGTAACACGTCCGTCAGTATTGTAACACATTCACCTGTAACATGTCCGTCAGTATTGTAACACATTCACCTGTAACATGTCCGTCAGTATTGTAACACATTCACCTGTAACACGTCCGTCAGTATTGTAACACATTCACCTGTAACACGTCCGTCAGTATTGTAACACATTCACCTGTAACATGTCCGTCAGTATTGTAACACATTCACCTGTAACATGTCCGTCAGTATTGTAACACATTCACCTGTAACACGTCCGTCAGTATTGTAACACATTCACCTGTAACACGTCCGACAGTATTGTAACACATTCACCTGTAACATGTCCGTCAGTATTGTAACACATTCACCTGTAACACGTCCGTCAGTATTGTAACACATTCACCTGAAATCTGAATACGGGGATTGCCACGGAGAGTAGTCAATAATAGTGTTGTTGTGGTCAGTGTAGAAGCTGTAAATCTCAATTGAAACTTCTCGCACTTACGGCTTAGTGGCTCAGTTGGTTAATCTGCCTGGCATTGCTTGAGGTACCAGGTTCGATTCCCGACTCTGTCACTAGCCGTGGGGTGAGCGTCGTCGACGCTCAGCTAAGGATCCTGAGTGGTCTATGCAGCCCCCCGGTCCACTCAGCCAAATACTCGAGAAATCGGGTGTGAGGGTTAAATGAGGAGCTTCCCATTGCAGCAAAGTCTCGGGCGAAGAAAGTATGGTACATACTACCTTAACCGTCACTTGCCTAATGTATAATTGAATCCTTTGGCTTCCTGTAATTGGCTGGTTACACACTTGTGTAACAATGTGGCTGTTGGAATGTCCGAAGTAAAATAAGTGTTGAGATAAAAAGAACACATTCACCTGTAACATGTCCGTCAGTATTGTAACACATTCACCTGTAACATGTCCGTCAGCATTAAGTATTGTAATACATTCACCTGTAACACGTCCGTCAGCATTAAGTATTGTAATACATTCACCTGTAACACGTCCGTCAGTATTGTAACACATTCACCTGTAACACGTCCGTCAGCATTGTAACACATTCACCTGTAACACGTCCGTCAGTATTGTAACACATTCACCTGTAACACGTCCGTCAGTATTGTAACACATTCACCTGTAACACGTCCGTCAGTATTGTAACACATTCACCTGTAACACGTCCGTCAGCATTGTAACACATTCACCTGTAACACGTCCGTCAGTATTGTAACACATTCACCTGAAATCTGAATACGGGGATTGCCACGGAGAGTAGTCAATAATAGTGTTGTTGTGGTCAGTGTAGAAGCTGTAAATCTCAATTGAAACTTCTCGCACTTACGGCTTAGTGGCTCAGTTGGTTAATCTGCCTGGCATTGCTTGAGGTACCAGGTTCGATTCCCGACTCTGTCACTAGCCGTGGGGTGAGCGTCGTCGACGCTCAGCTAAGGATCCTGAGTGGTCTATGCAGCCCCCCGGTCCACTCAGCCAAATACTCGAGAAATCGGGTGTGAGGGTTAAATGAGGAGCTTCCCATTGCAGCAAAGTCTCGGGCGAAGAAAGTATGGTACATACTACCTTAACCGTCACTTGCCTAATGTATAATTGAATCCTTTGGCTTCCTGTAATTGGCTGGTTACACACTTGTGTAACAATGTGGCTGTTGGAATGTCCGAAGTAAAATAAGTGTTGAGATAAAAAGAACACATTCACCTGTAACATGTCCGTCAGTATTGTAACACATTCACCTGTAACATGTCCGTCAGCATTAAGTATTGTATTTTGGTTAGGTTAAAATATCAGCGAGGAAGAGCCAGCTAAGTATCTAAGATCCCTTATATTATTAGATCCCTCAGACGTTGTCATATCTTTGTAGAGGCAGTTCCTTGAATAGCACTGTCTGTTCTGTTAAACGAACATAATAACTTTCTCCGTCAATAGCAAAATGGGGCACTCAATATCAATGCTTCTAATATAAAGTAACATTAAACTGACAAATGTAGAGTTGGCTCGAAGATAAGTTGTCGGACAAATAGAAAGGGGAGAGATAAGTTGTCTGACAAATACAAAGGGCCAGGGGAGATATGATCACTATAGAGAATAGGTCCTTTATAAAGCAGTCACGGAGAGTAGTCAATAATAGTGTTGTTGTGGTCAGTGTAGAAGCTGTAAATCTCAATTGAAACTTCTCGCACTTACGGCTTAGTGGCTCAGTTGGTTAATCTGCCTGGCATTACTTGAGGTACCAGGTTCGATTCCCGACTCTGTCACTAGCCGTGGGGTGAGCGTCGTCGACGCTCAGCTAAGGATCCTGAGTGGTCTATGCAGCCCCCCGGTCCACTCAGCCAAATACTCGAGAAATCGGGTGTGAGGGTTAAATGAGGAGCTTCCCATTGCAGCAAAGTCTCGGGCGAAGAAAGTATGGTACATACTACCTTAACCGTCACTTGCCTAATGTATAATTGAATCCTTTGGCTTCCTGTAATTGGCTGGTTACACACTTGTGTAACAATGTGGCTGTTGGAATGTCCGAAGTAAAATAAGTGTTGAGATAAAAAGAACACATTCACCTGTAACATGTCCGTCAGTATTGTAACACATTCACCTGTAACATGTCCGTCAGCATTAAGTATTGTAATACATTCACCTGTAACACGTCCGTCAGTATTGTAACACATTCACCTGTAACACGTCCGTCAGTATTGTAACACATTCACCTGTAACATGTCCGTCAGTATTGTAACACATTCACCTGTAACACGTCCGTCAGCATTGTAACACATTCACCTGTAACATGTCCGTCAGTATTGTAACACATTCACCTGTAACATGTCCGTCAGCATTGTAACACATTCACCTGTAACACGTCCGTCAGTATTGTAACACATTCACCTGTAACACGTCCGTCAGCATTGTAACACATTCACCTGTAACACGTCCGTCAGTATTGTAACACATTCACCTGAAATCTGAATACGGGGATTGCCACGGAGAGTAGTCAATAATAGTGTTGTTGTGGTCAGTGTAGAAGCTGTAAATTGAAAATTGAAATTGACATTTCTCACACTTTAAAGAAACCTTAGTGTAAAACATCTAAACTCACAGTGGCTTATGTTTTTAAAGAGAGTAGTTACAAGTTGGTAATGGTATTGTTCTATTTATTTTATTTCGGGCCGGGTTAAAATAAGTAATGGTGTTGTTCTATTTTCACGGCTTTCCGCTTACCGCAGGAGAGAGTTGTTTTATTTATTTTATTTTGGTTAGGTTAAAATATCAGCGAGGAAGAGCCAGCTAAGTATCTAAGATCCCTTATATTATTAGATCCCTCAGACGTTGTCATATCTTTGTAGAGGCAGTTCCTTGAATCGCACTGTCTGTTCTGTTAAACGAACATAATAACTTTCTCCGTCAATAGCAAAATGGGGCACTCAATATCAATGCTTCTAATATAAAGTAACATTAAACTGACAAATGTAGAGTTGGCTCGAAGATAAGTTGTCGGACAAATAGAAAGGGGAGAGATAAGTTGTCTGACAAATACAAAGGGCCAGGGGAGATATGATCACTATAGAGAATAGGTCCTTTATAAAGCAGTCACGTGATATCCACCTTTGTGTCGTTACCTGCCCTTTAAATGTGAAATGTGTTTGTTCTTTCGTCTTATTACAATTATAGACAGATATTTGTTTCGACAGTAGAACTAGTTTCACTTAAGTCTCAGTATATTGTGAAACAGTGTTTCGGTGTCCCTTATTTTTTTTACACTCGGCCACTTGTCAAGGCATGTAAGGTCATTCGGCGAATTTTCTTTGAAATAAAATTATGTATTTGTATAATATTTTGAAAGTTTATTGATTAAGAAAAAGTTAATACTCACCCAGTTGTGTCTCCGGTTCTATAGTTGTGCTATTCTGTACCAATGCTCCTACAACTTGAACAATCTTCAGCTGCCTGAAACAACCATAATATTTTAGTAAAACATGAACTACCCTTTCCCACCTTCTAATAACTACCACCTGGGTAGATGTTGGCTATAATATATTCTGGTTAAAACCTTGCTATCACCAGACTGGTCGTTAGTGTTAACATCAGTCGTGTAGGCAAATATTCGACTAAAACTGTGAACTTAATATTTTAATATAAGACTGATACTGTACTATCGTATGAGGCCTAGAACACGTCCTGAGGCCTAGAACACGTCCTGAGGCCTAGAACACCTGCACTCTGCAGTCCTATCGTAATTGTGCTTTAATAACGCCAGTACTATCGTTACCATACTTTAATACCAGCCAATCTCCGGTATGTAAAACAGTGGTGCCACCCGGACCAACCACAGGTTCTAGGTTCAGAGCATATTTTGAACCAACAGCGTTTTTGACTTCGGATTAAACATTTTATTTGCTTATTCTCTCATGGTTAGTGCGACCTAATTAGGAATATATCGAGAAGTCTCAACATACCATTATTGTTGCGTTTAAGGATTTATTTACGTTCGACAGGGCGTCGTTTTATTATATTGTGGCATTGATTAAATAGAGTTGCATTGTTATCTTTCTAATATGAATTGAGGGAAGATAAACAATATCTAATCACAGATAAACAATATCTAATCATAGCTTTTGTTAATTGTTTACATTCAAATTAGATATCAAGCTGGGAAGTTAACCAGAAGTCTCCACTACCAAGTTACCACTTTCTCTTCCATTTCCTTCTCTGTCAGCTTTGTAGCGTGATGGCTTCACTTAAATGTATTTTGCTGTACAACCAAAACGTCTCTATGATTTAGGTAGTCCCTGTCTCCAAAACAGATCAGTAATGAGTCCTAAGAGACGAACCAAATACCGTCCTCCAACTCTTGATCCTAACATGACGTCACGTAATGTCACGTGACGTTTGAAATTGTCGAGCTTAGATTGGTCCTATTGTCTTTGCTCATTGACTCCTGAACTGACAACACCCCTGAACTGACGAGTCTAAAGGTCTCATTTAAATGCAAATGGTATTGGTTCACTGTATGGTTCATGGCTAGATTGAGCTTAGAACACAACAATGCAATCTAATTAGTGTTTCACAGTTCAGACAATTTCAGTTGAAACCACCTTTTAAACACAGCTATAAACAGTTAACAGTTAAACACAGGTTACTGACTGTACTGAAGATATCAGTTCGTCAGTTTTGTATTTCATTTATTAACATTGTTCCAGAATTAGCAGCTGACCGTCATTATCCAGCTCCAGAACTTTCGGTTTTTATTTGATCAAGATGTACCTTTCTTGACGTCTCTGCAAGGATATGATATTGAGTTTTGTGAGACGTTCCCAGTAGTCTAGGCCACTGCATCTGTTGATGCGTCGGAATATTGTTGTTGAATGTTTTCTATAGCCTCTATGTCTGTGATCTAGGCTGGATTCCACACAGGGCAGCAATATATAACCTATCCAGTCTTCAAACTGATCCTCATAAAGATATCGTAACCGTAGATCTCGACTATTTAAATGCAACAGTTTATTGCTGATATTGATACGTTGGAAATATTTTTAAGCTAATCTCTCAATCTGTATGATCTGTAAATAATTCAATAAAGTTACCCTAATCGTGTTATCATAACATATAGGTTAGAAAGTAAAAGATCCCCTGAAAATGGATAACCACACTCCCCCCTTCATCTCTGAGATCATCTCAACCCAGAAGCCACCCAGCACCTACTCAACAAACGAGACAGCTCTTTTAACATGGTGTTTCTTAGTTATAGTCCTTGGCCTGGCTGGCAACATCTACGTGCTTTACTCCACCATCTCTCACCGTGCCATAAAGCTTGATAAGATGTCAGTTTGGATTGTTCAGAATCTAGCGGTAGCTGATATCTCCAACTGTGTTTTAGTTGTGATACCCATCACTATCACTGTCATGAATGGTATGGAATGGAAACTAGGTAGTGGGTTTTGTGTGGCCATAGCTCATTACAATCTCGTGTTCCTTTTGGCTAACGGATTCTTCCTTAACGCTTTATCAATCAATAAGTTGTTGAAATGTCTGTTTCCATTCCGTATGTTGGACTCCACTCAAAAACAGAGAAACACCGTAACACTTTTTGTGGTCATCTTCAGCTTCATTCCTATAGTATGGACTATATATGGCACATACAAAGGCTTCTTCGTGGAATCAAAAAACTTTGAGCATCTCACCGGCATATGTAACATTGCAAACAACTCAGAGACGGAAATACCTCAGACGATTATCATAATCAACTACATAGTACTCACTCTCTTCAACTTCGGACCCTGTGTTAGTCTGATCACAGCGAATCTTGCTCTGGTAGTCGTAGCCGTAAAAAAGTCCAACACAACCGTTAACAAGACGAATATCCTAATAGTAATGCTAACTACGGCTATGTTTCTAGTTGCTGGTCTCCCTAGATTTATAACCTATGTTGTTGGGTATTGCTGTATGTATCCAGGTAGATTGTTTGATGAACTTGCATGGTACACATTATTTTCTATGAGCTGGGTCAATCCTTTTATATATCTGGCCACAAACAAACATTTTAGGGATTTCACTTTAGGAAAGTTAAGGATTATGTCGAGCAGTTTTAGGTCGTCTGTAAGGAGTGTGACAAATGTGTCAATTATTTCAGGACACCGAAGTTGAACTAGGCAGATTGTTTTAAATCATTTTAAAAAAAGCAATACTTAGTGTTGATTATGCTGATTGCTGATATGTACTATGTATACCGTATCAATGTTTATTTCATTTGAAAATAGAACGTTCTCAATTTTAATGCTGAACTCATTTAAAAGTTACACCTTTGTTTAACTGTGACTATAATCCCACCGAGATCACTGCTCCAACTACCACGTGATCACCGTTCCAACTACCACGTGATCACTGTTCCAACTACCACGTGATCACCGTTCCAACTACCACGTGGTCACCGTTCCAACTACCACGTGATCACCGTTTCAACTACCACGTGGTCACCGTTCCAACTACCACGTGATCACCGTTCCAACTACCACGTGATCACCGTTCTAACTACCACGTGGTCACCGTTCTAACTACCACGTGATCACCGTTCCAACTACCACGTGATCACCGTTCCAACTACCACGTGATCACCGTTCCAACTACCACGAGATCACTGTTCCAACTACCACGTGATCACCGTTCTAACTACCACGTGGTCACCGTTCCAACTACCACGTGGTCACCGTTCCAACTACCACGTGATCACCGTTCCAACTACCACGTGGTCACCGTTCCAACTACCACGTGGTCACCGTTCCAACTACCACGTGATCACCGTTCCAACTACCACGTGATCACCGTTCCAGCTACCACGTGACTTTAATTCCTTTCCCAAATTCGTGTTCAAGAGATTGGCCTAGGAACAAGAAAAGCTAAATTTGCTTACCTACAATACCTTATAGTAACTGGATAAAGATAAATAATAAAGATAAAGGAATAATATAATAAACTTACACTTCTTCAGGAGCTGACTTAACCAGATAGGAGAGAGTGAGAAGGAGCTCTGAGTTAACAATCAGATACACACAATTCTCATTAGTAGTCAAGTTGTAGATGTAGCCTATACAACTAGCTAGTTCACGGGGGTTGCTGTTCTTTCTAGCTGAAGAGAGAGGAGGGTTAGGGTTAATCTCTTAGTGGATGTAAGTTATTTAAAGTTTTAGTCTCTGTATGATGCTGTAAAATTAAATTACGACACTACTTCAAAGAATACAATAACTGCAAATGTCAGGGAATGCGATTTGCAATTAAATACTTAAATAAATAACGTTACAGTACTGGGAATTTTTTAGTGAAGAAAGTTTATGAAGAAGGCGAGGAATGATGATAAGGGTTTTAAAAACTATGAACGGAAAAGAATGTCAATGTCGAAGTTGCTGTATGTAAATCTGTTAACATTAGTTAAGCTCAAGTTTTAATCAATTAAATCAGTGCCACACAGTAAAATCAAGTTACACACTTTGCTTAGAAGACAATATAACTTACTAGACTTCCGAATGCAAGGATCTGAAATCCAACTTTTCATAATCACTTAGCTCAAAAATAAAATGGAAACATAGGTACAATAAATCTGATCTACATAAATCACAATGGTATTAAACGCACTGCTGTTGCTACTAAATCTAAAAGGTGGCAGTAGACTGAGACTATTATACTGTCGACTGATTAGACTCACAGAGAAAGTCAGCTATCTCCACTAGATGGTGTGAGATTTCAGCCCCCTCACAGTCGTTGAGAACTCGAGGAGAAAGTGGTTGCCATGGCAACGTCCTAGTGTCACATCTCATGCTTACTGCTTCTTTGAATACCTTGGGATTGCCTGAGAAATGTTTTGTAACTGTTTGAATTAATAGCACACTTGGTCTTAACATAAATAAGTAAATTGAGGCAGTAAAACTAAAAGCACTAAACAATATCATATTATATTATGTCTGTTTAAATCTTTTATTTTGCATTCGATTGCAACAAGCTTCATTCTTGTGAAACTTTCACAAATTGAACTTGAAATATGAAGCACTATAATCCTTAATGATGATGAAAAACCCTCATAAAGTAAACAAACCGACTATAGGTTGGGGTAGAAGAGTTTGCTGGTACTCTCTAATCAACGTCTCTAATGTGACACCAGGTTCCAGGTTCAGTTGGGAGGGCGGTGTTACTGGGTTCATTTTCCTTGATTCTGATCGAGGCTAAACAGAATATTAGTAAGGTAGTGCACTACTGCAGTCATCTCTTAGATAGTCATCTCTTAGATATACAACTGCATCGCAACTATGTTTTAATCAATGACAATAATATATTATTATTATATATATTATGCAGCTCTGCTTCAGCTGCTCAGAGTCCTTTTCGCAATAAAATTAAGATTATCAATTTACACAGTTCTTACCAGAACAGGTGGTTTTGGAGGAGGCATCTCAATCTGAGGAATCTGTATCATAGACTCAGTCAAATGTTCTGTCAAATCATCCTCCTCCTCTTCCTCCCTCTCTTCCTTCTTCTCAACCTCCTGCCTCTCTGTCGCTGATCCTCTTGAGGCTGCCAGATTACCAACACCAGACACTCTGCCATGATGAGGATCAGGTTGCTGGAAGGTTGAGAGCGAAATAGAAACCTCGTGAGGTTGAGGTGTGTCCTGTTTAGTAGGGGTGGGAATCTCGGCTGGTTCGACTGCTGTTGTCAGTGTCACAGTTTTGTTTAGAGTGTCTGTGATATCATTTGACTCTGAGACTGAAACTGTGCGATCTGGTGTTACGATATGATTATGAAATTTTGAAGTATAATTAAGTCCCAAGTGATATGTAAATTGCTTAAATACCTTTAATAATTTTTATCAGGTTACTAAATTTGAGTAGCCGCACACTAACCAAATCAAACTAATTCAAACAAAGTAGTTTTCAGTCACTATCATTACAAACCGTTCTTATCAGTAATATCATCGGACTGCAGACTGTCCCTAAAGAAGCTGGCGTGAACCAAGTCTTGTCTCTTGGTGAAGTAAGGGTGAAGTTCAAGTTGTCTCCAACCCAGTCTAGTACTGGGATCTGGGTCTAGAAGTCCCGAGAGAAGGTCATGTAGTTCGTCTGATATGGGAGCACCGTCAACACCTGTACCTGCAACAAAAACATATTATGGGGACAGCATGAACTGCGGTCCAGATGAAGACACATATATATTACCAAGATCAAGAGTGATAAATTTTGCTTTAAATGACTTATCTAACTGTCTCCAATGAATGCTGGGTATGTGTACTATAAACTCAGAGGATATGCTTACCTGGCAGGGTGATGTACTTGGCGGGCTCAGTAGAGAGTGGTATAAATTTGTCCCCACTCTTGCGTCGTTCCCGCTCAGCTTCTATACCCTCTGTAATCTCCTCCAGAGTTGACCCAGGAAATGGCTCTTTGCCTATACAACAAATACAACTCATAATCACTTCATTAGGAAAAATATTATTGCACAATATTTTCCAATAATGGGAACAACAGCTGGAAGGGATAATAGTTTTAATGCCTATTAAAACATACCAGTGAACATGTGGTAGAGAATTGCACCAAGAGACCAAAGGTCACTGGCATAACTCCAAGTGTTCTCGATAAGGGCCTCAGGGCAACAGTACAATGGAGATAATGCAGGAGTTACACTCTCGTCTGTTGGTTGGGATAAGTCACATCCCATCAGCAGACCTCCTACTTTCAAACTCCCTTTAGAGTCTATATAAATCTGTAGTTGTCATTGGTTAAGAAATTATATTTGAATAACGTGTTAGTGATTCTCTATCATGAGGTAGCATTTACAGAATCAATAACTTAGACTCTTTAAAATCTGGTGCATGTACAAGATCACGATTGTTATGTGAGCAAATGAATAAGTGAACTTATCAATGATAACTAAATTGATGGAAAGTTTTAATGAAATTTCTGTAAATAGCAAAGCGAAAATATGTCAGATAATACTAAATATTGTACTTACTTTGTGCGGATGAAGGTTCCGGACCACGATGCCAGCACAGTGGATGTGATACAGAGCCTTGCACAGTTGGAGAGCACAAGCTCTTATCATAGGCTCTGGTACTGGGCAGTCTTGTGTCATTGCTGTAGCTAAACTGCAACCATTGCACAGTTCTTCTATCACCCAGAAATGTGAGGCTGAACGGAGAAAAAAGTTTTAAATATTCTTTTAGAAGGATTACAATTATGAATCACACAAGATAAAATGGGCTGTGTAATGCAGATTAAACATAATATGATACAGATCACTTCTTGCCTTGATGCTAGTAGGAAGAGTATTATTTACATTTTCAGTGAGCAAGATTATATTTTCAAAGAATAATGATTAAATTCTGTCCTATTCTTGTCAAATAACATTCAAATGTTTTCAGACACTTTTTATGGAGGTAAAAGAGAAAAACGAATGGGTTAAATACTTACATGTTTCATACCATTCATAAAACTCTATGACATTGGGATGCTTTGTCTGAGACAATATTGATACCTGAACAGTTTACACAGTTGACGAAGTTGATTGAAATACAAATAGCAAAAATTTACATCACCCATAAAGTGTTTACATTAAAATGATCCCTAAATTATAATTGCACTTAACTTCGTAGTAAATATTTTTTACCTTGTTATGAACATATTTCTGATGATCTTTCTCATAACTGCAAATTGCAACGAAGTCAATTTGTCCTTTCTTTCTGCCTTTATACACAGTTGTATGTGCTCCTCTGCCAAGTTCATTGTAAAGAATATAATCATTCATGGTATCCTATGATTACATTAAGATCATTAACTAAAATTCTGCTCCTGTATAATCAAATAACAGGGTAGAAATGTTACATTCTGAGGATACAAATGTGCCATTCAGGCTTTGAAGATAAGCTAAATATAAATTGGATACTATAAGTTTTAACTCTAGTTATAAAGACCAATACTCAGTGGTGTAACTTTGCATGTTGGCACATACCACGACTGAAAAACCATTTAACGTCTGTCTTGCTGTATGGTGACCAATTATATCGAAATGACCAGAATGATGATATCGTTACTTTCAACACTGTTAATCATAACATTTTATTGTCAAAGCTTAAAAATAAAAACATGTTTGGCATCTCAGGTGATGTACTTGACTTGTTCAGACCATACTTCTATGGTAGATCCAATTCGTTAAATGTTGTACTACAAATTGGTTGAACTTATAGTCATAGAGCATGGTTTTAACATTTGCTGATAATATGCAGCTTTATATCATTATCAACATGCTATATCGACCATTGAGGAAAGAATAATTTACTGCCAAACAAATAAATCGAATAACTTGTAGCAGACTTATGCGAAATCTAAACAGGACGAACATTTTCTATCTAGACGAATTTTGTAGTGCAATGCACTACTAGACTGGGCATATATCTCCGAAAAATAACTTTTTCACTTCAGAAACTTAATTAGCGCAGCAGGACAGCTAGTAACAATAATTTACGAATGTAAATAATATAGAGTCATTTACAACAAAATCCAGTAATCAGTGATATAAAAAGTTGAGCTATTTACGTATATAACATGGCATATAATTTTTTGTAGTTAGTAAATGTTATAATAAGTTCCACTTTTTCATTTCATTCCATTTACATAAAATCACGATAAGTTTGTATATTGGTAATTAATTGGCGATATTATTCATTTGCAGCAATTGCATAGCCAATAGCTCTGTTTACAATCTAAAGTAATTATTTCGTGAGTGGCACCTGCATCGAGCGTGCTAAATCACTTTACAGTCGATCTTCGAGATTTTTCTAAAAGAGCCCCCGACAGTTAAAACCAACCTGCATTGCACACTACAATTAAAATTTATAATCATAAAATTGTTTTTTTTTTACTAAATATAAATGCGAATAACATGGAAAACATTATAAATCAATAATCATGACAAATTGTTTATGCTTGTCGCACTGCACTAAAAGTTAGCTGGTACGATCTCTTCAACACGAAACAAAGCAAAAATAATAATTTGCATCGCAAGTTGTACTGAAGTTATTTAGCTTTTAGTTTTATTAGTTTATTGCTCGCTTAATTCTCTCCAAGAATCTTGAAAATAGCGCCGCGCGCACAGGGATTGCTTGTCATACGTTGTATGACCCGCCGCGCACGAAGTGCGCGGCTCCCCCTGTATCGTCGAAGCGACAGTGGGGATCACCACGTGATACAAGGGATCGCCGAATCAGATAAACGTTCTATTGAATTATATTGTTTTATTTCATAATATATTGCAATGCGATGTTTTTAAAAATATTCATAATTTATAACTGAGCATAAAACAGTATTAAAATAACAATGTACAATTTTTAGATTTTAAAAAATTTTCTATTTTTCATTTTTGATTTTATTTTTGCTAGTGTTGACATAAACAATTTTATAAAAAATTAATTTAGATTTGTTAAATTTTATTTCACAAAAATGAAAGAATCAAAACACGGATACAATTTTTGGATTAAATAAACCAACTTTTTAATTGTGCCGCGCACTAATTCCACAAATTCTAGTTTTTGAATCGAGCGCTGTAGCAAATTTTAAAAATTTCCGATTTGTGTTTACATATTCTTTATATCTATTGTGTGTAACATTTTAATGCCTTCCGCTTGCCGTAAATATGGTCGAATCGTTGAATACAGCTATTCTAGACTCAACATTTACTTTACTTTGTGTACCATTAACATTTCTTTGAGTTACTGCAACTGGTCATCGAGTCGAGGTTTGACTAGCTTTTGCTCAATATTTAATTATGTTTCTCCATATATTGACTTGAAGTGGTCTCTATTTTGCTAATGCTTTATACCATACTATCAAACTTAAGCTTTAAGTTCGCTGACGATGTTTTTAAGATTTTTTAATTAATTGAGCAATGATACCTGATATGTTCTTACATCAGTCTTGAAGCATCTGTGTATGCTTTTGTGTGGTAATCCTTGACTTGTTGGTATCAAAGCAGTCAAGACTGCAGCCCGACCTGGGAGATACAGGTCTCCTTTTCACAGTGTTAGGTCTATTGAAGCTTGTGTGTTGGCATGGACTACATGTTAACAACAATATTAAAGCTTGTTTTGAGTTGGTATTTAGTGAATTGACGCCCTTTCCTGCAGCAATTTGAAAATGATATATTTAATAATAATAATAATAATTTAAACTTTTATATTATAGTGGCACAACAACTTAAAATGCACAGGTGTGCCACGAAAACAGTTCAGGATACAATAAAACCTGAAAAAGCAACCCACATTTATATTCTAAACCAGATAAGGGTGATTAGACTTGATTCACTAAATAAACGATAATGTGTATATGCATTTTCCAGTAGAACCAAATAGGGAAAACTAGGATTGAAAAATATTAAGATACAATAATAATAATAATAATAAGTAGGAATTTATATATCGCTTTATAGCCATAAAGAACTCAAAACCCAAAGATTCAGTTCAAACCATCTAAAGCGACTCATGAGTAACATGTACATAAGAACTTATTTTTATGAAGTATGGATTTTATGAAAAAGGTAATACATGATACTTATACAAATACGTTTTCAAAGAGATGAGTTTTTAGTTTCTTTTTAAATAAGACGATATCGGTTAGTGTTCTCAATTGATAAGGAAGCTTATTCCAAACAGAGGGTCCGCAGTAGCTGAAACTTCTCTCGGTTTTACTATAGTTTGAAATAGGAGGAACATTTAGGAGGAAATAGTCTTCTTCAGTTCTTAGTACACGTACAGGTTGACTTTTGATGTCAATACATTTGATGATATACTCCGGCGCTATGTTGTTAACGCATTTGAACACGGTTAGAGCAATCTTATACTCTATTCGTTGTCGTATCGGAAGAAAATGGGCTTTTTTCAGGAATGGAGTGACACTGTCCCATTTTTTGATAGCTTTCCAACCAAACAAGAATCGAACACAGGAATTTTGTACCTTCTGGAGTTTCTTTATTAGAAGATCAGGTAAACCGTATAAGAGTCCATTGCAGTAGTCTAGTTTTGAAAAGATCAAGCAGTGAATGAGCTGTCTTTTTAGATCATAGTTAAGCTTTGAGCCTATAACTCGAAGGTTTCTCAGATGGATGTTGCAGCAACTGATAATTGAATTTATTTGGTCTTCAAATGTTAGGAATTGATCAAATAGGACACCTAAACTTTTCACTGTGCGGGATGCATCCACAGGGTCAGCTGCATTGTCAAGTTGTATTGAATCGACTGGACATGAAGAGTAACTGTTCTTGGTCTGTACTACAAGAGCTTCTGTTTTGTTTTGGTTCAGTTTGAGTTTATTTTGGGTCATCCAGGTCTTAATATCTTCAAAACAATTTGTTATTCTCTCTTCGATTGTTGAGAGATCTCGAAATAGTGGGTTAAACTCAATGTACAGTTGAGTGTCATCTGCGTACATGTGGATGTTAAATCCATGTCTCTTTGCGATCTGATTGAGCTCCTTTGTGTAAAGTATAAACAGAATTGGACCTAGAATTGAACCTTGCGGGACTCCAATTCTAAGGAAGCATCTCTTTGATCTTGATTTATCAATAGTTACTGTGAAGGATCTGTTATTAAGGTATGATGTAAACCATTCGAGAACAGTACCTTCAAAACCAAAGTCCTTTTTTAGTTTTTTTAGGAGCAAGTGATGATTTACAGTATCAAAAGCAGCACTGAGGTCCAAAAGGAGGAGGATAACCTTACTTTTCATGTCACTGATACAAAGAAGATCATTGTAGATGGTAAGGGTCGCAGTTTCGCAGCTATGATTTGACCTATAACCACTTTGATGCTCAGCATGAAGATTGTGATAGTCAAGATGTTTGGTCATCTGTTTCTGGACGCTCTTTTCAATGAGTTTCGAGAGGAAAGGTAAGTTACTAATCGGTCTATAGTTGTTGAAGCTATTGACATCTCCTTTATCATCTTTGATGGCTGGTCTGACAAGAGCACTCTTTAGGACTGACGGAAATTTTCCAGTGACAAGTGAGTCATTGATAATAAATGACACAATTGGTTTAACTTCATTAAAACACTGCATTAGAAGTTTTAGAGGGATGGGGTCCTCTTCACATTCTTTTTTGTTAAGGTCAGAAAGAATCTTTTTGAGATCATTGTCGCTTATGGTTTCAAATTGGCTCCAGGCTTCACCTTGAAATGGTTCAGAGTGGTCAAGAAGAATGTCAGCTGCAGTATCATTGTTAATGGCAGAGTAAATCTTTTCCACTTTATCATTGAAAAACTCTTTCATCTCCTCACATAGAGTTTCAGCAGGTTTGTTATTAGGCTTCAAGTTTTTAGATATGTCCCGATCCATCAGCTGATTGACTATTTTGTAGGTATCTTTTTTATTGTCCTCACAGCTTTGCAGACGATTTTCATAGTATAGCTGTCTAGTGGTGTTTATAACTGCCTCGGCATGCTTAACAGCTTTTTTATAGTCTAATTTTGAATCTGCAGTTTTAAGTCTCCTGTTGTCACGTTCAGCTTTTCTTCGTTTCCTTCTGGCAGTTTGACATTTTGTGTCCACCCACTTGCTTTGATCAGGATTAATGCTAAAACAGATAAGGGGAGCATGTTTATCAAGAATTCTGCGAAGTTCTTTGTTATAGAGTTCCGTGGCAGAGTTGCAGTCAATAAACTTGTTGGGGTCATTTATGTCAGATAGCAACAGATCCTCCTTAAAAAGATTTATGTCTATATCTGATATCTTTCTGCCCACCATATCTTCTTTGTTGCTTCCTTTGTGGTGAGGAAAGGCAATAGAGAAATTTACGAAGTAGTGATCTGATGTTGTTACTGTTTTAGCTACATCTATATCTTTTATGTTCAACATATCACACGCATTGCTTCTAGTAAGAACAAGGTCTAAGATTCCACCCCCAATGTGTGTTGAACTGGAAATATGCTGGATGAGGCCATAGTTTGATATGAGATGGATAAAATTTATCGTATCAGGATCAGTGAGGTCTTCGACATGGATATTGAAGTCTCCAGCAATGATCAGTCTACCTGGAAGGTGAGTTAGACTGTCAAGATATTCATCAAATTCCCGTAAAAAGTCTGTCATTTTGGACATTTTAGCCGTACAAGATCGATAGACACAGCAGAAACGAAGAAGGTCATTGGAACTTGACTTCAGCACACTCTCAACATGTTCAAAGGATTTATGGGTCTTTGTAGGGCGTTTATTGAAGCTAAGATCTTTCTTAAAGGCAATAGCGACACCACCTCCTCTACCAGCTCTAGATTGGTGAACAATATTATAGCCTAGGTCTTTAATTTCCGCTATTTTTGACGTATCTCCCTTACGTAGCCAAGTTTCTGTCAGGAAACAGGCATTGATATTGGAGTCAGACAGTTGCTCAAATACTTGTGCAGTTTTATTACATAGTGACCTCGTGTTAAACAGTCCGACATTTAGGTTGAGAAGCGTAGTCTTCACATGTTTTTTGAGTACTCTGTTCTTTGTCTAAGACTCTCTTTCTCCAGCATTATTATGGGACAGTTTTCAGCACCAGAGTGATGGGTGTTACAAGATTCTCTGTATGATTCATAGGTGGAGTGTGAGCAGTTGGTGCATCTGTGACTTCTTCTGACCTCTTTGTAGGGACAAGCCCGTGTTATGTGTGATGCACTACAATACATGCAAATAACATCAGTTTCGTTGCACTGAGATGAAATGTGTCCCAGTTTCTGACATCGGAAGCACTGCTTAAGATCAAATCTATCAACTACTTTACATCTGGAATTTCCTATGTAAATGGACTGATTGTTTAACAGGAAATGCCTTATGTCAGGAGACACTTTAATCCCAACAGTAGTGTAGTCTCTTCCATAATTGACATACACAACTTTAAATGTTCTATCATGCTTAGTCACCAAATCTTTAACATATTGATTCTTTTCCAGAAGCTTCAATTCCATAAAGGTTTTAACCTTTTCTCGAAATTCAGGAACTGATAGATTTTCAGAGACAATGTGGGAGATTAAGTTGTTTGGGATATTCGTAACTGTGACTTTCGGGAACATTTTCTTTGCATCATTAACAGTGATTTTGGACGAAGTTACAGCTGATGAGTTTGCGAGGGCTATTTTCCCATCCTCTCTATCTTTTTCTGAAGGGAAGGAGATAACAATTTTGCCTGTCTTTGGTTTAGGGGTCAAGAAGATCATGGGTATTGTACCAAGGGCTTTACTAGCTAGCTTCCCTGCTTCCTCAAGATTAGTATTACTAGCTTCTACATTGAGGACGATAACATGATTATCAGGAGAATTATTATGGATATTGCCAGAGGGAAGTTTTTGCATAGGAGTTTCCTTCTTAGTTAGTTCTATGTAGTTCTCAGTAGCAGTACTAGTGGAGCTATCTATAGCCGATTCAGGAGACAACGCAGCACTGTAGCTCTTTGAAGATGAAAGTGAACTGGTAGTCTTCATTGGGGAAGCAATTAAAGAACTAGGTGTTTGCAGGGCTAGGGCTGATGCACTACTAGGGATAGATGATGCACTACTAGGGGTGCTGGATCTTCGTGTAAGATTTGGTACTTCTGTGAGCAAAGAATCTATGTGTGATTTAAGTTTGATGGAAATAAGTTCTTCTACACTTGACAGTAAACTTACTTTAAAATTGCTCAAAGTTTCAATCAATGCCTTCTCATCTCCATTGCTTGAAGTTGTATCAGTAGTGGTAGTAGTCCCACTTTCAGTGCTAGCCACACTTTCAGTGCTAGCCACACTCTTGGTGCTAGCCACACTCTTGGTGCTGTCCATGCTTGTATTGCAAGTTGAGTCCGCAGTTTTAACAGCAGTTTTTGCAAGGAGAGCTTTCTTACAGTTAGGACATGTCCAGCCAAAGTCACCATATCTTTGAGAATATGTATTACCGTGTTTGTGAATTACTGGCAAAATATTCGTCAGGAAAGTCCGTGAACAAATAGACGTGGGCATAAGTGTGCCAGCCTTATCCTTACAACATGCGTGGAAAACGTCTTTACATATCTGACAAGAAATGGACTCATAGGCCATGTTATCACTTTTACACCGACAACACAGCCCTTTGAGATTAAACTTGGGGACTGTTTTTGGGTTAATGGCACTTTTCTTTAGGGGGGCTTTAGAATCTTTAGAAAAATCTTTAGAAAAATCTTTAGAAACATCTTTAGAAATATCTTTAGAAACATCTTTAGAAACATCTTTAATCTTTAGTATAGGTTTTTTTATTTTAACAGTACCTTTTTCTGAGGGCTTCTTTATCTTTTTCTCTGCTTCTTCACTGCTGGGCGTTTGGCCTGCAGCCTTGTCATTTTTCATAGCTTTGAGGCTCGGGATCATACCTCAATAAATGTATTTAATTGTAGTTGTGAAAATAGTTTAAAACAATATTATGAGCACGTTTGAAAAGAAATGTTTTCAGATACACTTTAAAAGAGTCCAATGTTGTACAATTCTTAATCTCAAATGGTAGTTCATTCCATAATTTAGGGCCAACTTTCTGAAAAGATCTTTCTCCATATTGTGTGTGCACTCTAGGTTCAGTCAAATAGACAAGATGATTATAGTTTGCAAATTTAAACATTGTACTTAAATAATCTGGTCCCATGCCATTTAGACATTTATAAACAAGAAGTAATAATTTGTACTGAATTCTGTAGCTGATAGGCAGCCAATGAAGGTCTTTCAGAGTATCTCCTAAATGATCATGTTTAATAGTCCTACTATTGCTTTAGCAGCAGCATTTTGAATGAGTTGAAGCTGATGGATGAGGTAGTCACTGATTCCAAAGTATAGGGCGTTGCAGTAATCCAATTTGCAGACAATAATGCTATTAACAATAAGCTTAAGCTGAGCTTTACTAAAAAGATACTTTCTTCTGATAATATTCCTGAGGAGTCTAAAACAATGTTTTTTTAGGGACATGATTTGAGGCTCAAAGGTAAGGTGATGGTCGATTTGCACACCAAGATTTTTTGTTGTGCTGACAAATCTGATACACGTGTCATTTGACAGCTGTACTCCTCCTAAAGATATCTGATTCAACACATGAGGTGAGGCAATCACAAGTATTTGGGTTTTTCCTGGGTTGAGTTGTAGGCAGTATTCAACCATCCAGCGCTGTATGGTCCTGGCGCAATTTACAAGTTGAATACCCAAAACATTAACCTGATCACAAGGTTTGAAGGTTTTGTATACCTGGTGGTCATCTGCATATAATCCTTGCACGTTGAATCCAGATTCCTCTATAGTCCTATACAGAGATCGGATGTATATGTTGAACAAAACTGGTCCTAACACTGAACCTTGTGGTACACCAAATTCAAGAATGATTGTATCACTTGTCGTGGAGCCTACCCTAGTTCTTTGAGTTCGTCCTACTAAGAAGCTTTTAAACCATTTAAGGGGGCCGGGGGGGGGGGGGGTCTTCATCAAAATTCTCTCGAAATTGATTTTATAGTTGTTTCTGATAGAGGGGAGTGATATCTATCAGCTGCTTTTGGTCCCATGGAAAAATATTGTTCCTAGCCAAAATTATCGCCAGTCAAAGGTCAGCGCTTATGTGTAATTGTATTGCGCGAGCGATTTTCAATCGCGCGCCCTGAAAATCGAGTCTAAAAATCTATCTTCTCCTACATTTTTTGAGCAATCACCCTGAAACTTTCAGGATATGTTCTATAGATCATTTAGAAGATATCTGTCGAGCCGAATTTTGAGATAGGCCTTAGAAGATTTTTTATTCAATTTTGAAAATCTTGGACCTCATTTTTTTACGATTTTTCCAGGTCCAAGATTTTCAAAATTGAATAAAAAATCTTCTAAGGCCTATCTCAAAATTCGGCTCGACAGATATCTTCTAAATGATCCCTAGAACATATCCTGAAAGTTTCAGGGTGATTGCTCAAAAAATGTAGGAGAAGATAGATTTTTAGACTCGATTTTCAGGGCGCGCGATTGAAAATCGCTCGCGCAATACAATTACACATGAGCGCTGACCTTTGACTGGCGATAATTTTGGCTAGGAACAATATTTTTCCATGGGACCAAAAGCAGCTGATAGATATCACTCCTCTCTATCAGAAACAACTATAAAATCAATTTCGAGAAAATTTTGATGAAGACCCCCCCCCCCCCCCCCCGGCCCCCTTAAGAGCAGTTCCTCTGATATGTAACTCTTCAGAAAGAATCTTGAGCAACTTTCTATGTTCTACTGTGTCAAAGGCTGCAGATAGATCAAGCATCATAAGAACAGTGGAGGATTTGCTATCACATGCCAGAAGTAGGTCATTTGTTACTTTCAACAAGATGGTCTCAGTAGAGTAAAACTTTTTATAGGCAGATTGTTGAGGAACATTGAGATCGTTTTTAACCAAGTGGTCATTTAACCTTTTTAGCACAACTCTTTCGATCAGTTTACCGAGAAAAGAGAGGTTGGAAATAGGTCGATAGCTCTTGAAGTCATTAGGATCAAGTTTACAGTGGTCTTTAATGGTTGGTATTATATCAGCCGTTTTCAGGCCCTCAAATGTACCCTTGGTTAGGGACTGGTTGACCAGTTCGCATAAGACAGGAATAAAGTTTGTGATGTTATCTTTGAGAATCGATGTTGGAAGGAAATCAGATGGTGCAAACTTGATCCCACTTTCCTTAATGATGTCAGACAGCTCTTCCTCTGTGCATGGATCAAATTCACATAAGTGATCTTGAGAATTGATCTCTTTACTCGAGACTGTCATGTGCTTGTCGACATCAAAATCTTCTATATCAGGGAAATCTTTTCTGATCTTCTTGATCTTCTCGTTGAAAAAGTGATTGAAATCACTGCACAGTTTTGGTACATCTTCTGACTCCGGGAGAGGAGTATTCTGGTGTCTGTCAAGCTCACGATTGACAATGTTATAAATGGCTTTATTTATTCAGGACGTTACAGAAGGAATTGATTTAATTTAGTTGGAGGATTCCTAACTCTCCTCACGTCCGTAAATGGAGTTTTCTTTGTATCATATATGCTAGAATCTATAATCGATGGTATTGCATTTATTGCCCAAGCCATGATAGATGGAGATTGTGGAGCGGATAGAGTACAGATTAGTACAATATCTAGATATTATACTAATTTGTGCCCTCAAAGGCATGTGGGTGAAGCAGGTACTAGCGTGTAAATTAATAGACCTGTCGTAGGATTGCAGACTGTTTCAAATAGTGGCTATGTGATGCTCCATTATTCTTAATCCCTTGCTTGTCGTCTGTCGACCTTTTTGTCTTTGATAAAAATATATTTTCTGTGATTAACTGCTCATTCTCTATCCTGTTTATATTTTAATTCTTATGAATGTTTAATCCGTAACTTATTCACTACAGGTAGTACATGTAAATGTTCTTTGGATTGTTTAAGCTACAACCGCATTGCGATCCATTGTTAGCTGTTATCGGATTCTTCGTGTACCTAGCATCTTATATTATCATCAGTAAGTTTCGATTTATTTTAGCTCCATGATTGATTACTTTTATTATAATTTAATTACTCACAAAACTATTGGGTTGATGGTTACTTTAAGAAATATCCCCGAAATTTATGCAAATTAATTAATACAGCCGCTTAAAGTCTGAATTTCAACATGGGCGTGCGCAGGGGGGAAGGCGGTCGCCTCCCCCTTTTGAAATTATAACCTAGAATGTATTATTACAGACCATAATATTATTATTGCTAGTCATAGTGGACTTCTGTAGAAATAAACTTGTAAGAAACAATCTGTATTCCACACTCCATGTCCAATTTCAGCAGAATGATTTGAACCTGTTATGAAACACATGAGAAATTGATATATTCTGATGATTTTTCGTTTATCAAAGCTTTCTTTGAGAATAGAACTTTCAGTACTGCAATCGTGTTTTGTAATATGCCTATACTCAGTGACTTTGCTAGAAAAATTCAGTAAAAACAGTGAAATTTGGGTCGCGGAAAGCTGAAATTTGAAAATTTTCATTGCATCAAAGTTTTCTCTGGATATACTGCTTCCAGTACCTTGATGGCGACTAGTGTCACTCTCATCGACCTCAATGATTGGTCACTGGTCAAAACCACGAAATTTCAGTCTAGGGGACGGCAGAAAATCTCCTTAAAAAATTTTCCAAAATCTCTTTATTATATTCTGATGATATTCCGTTTATTAAAGCTTTCTTTGCGAATAGAACTTTGAGTACCTCAATCGTGTCTTGTTCCATCCTCAGTGACCCTGCACTGTAAGATGGTCATTCAACAAAAAATCAGTCAAAACAGTGAAATTTGGGTCGCAGAGAGCTGAAATTCGAATATGTCCTACCAGTAGGACATATTCAAATTTTCATTGCATCAAAGTTTTTCTTCAGATATACTGCCTTCAGTACCTTGGCCATGATGGTGACATGACGTGTCACTCTCACCGACCTCACTGATTGGACACCGGTCAAAATTTCAGTCAAAACCGCGAAATTTCGGTCAAGGGGACGACAGAAAAGCTCCTCTTCAAAAATCTTTCAAAAATCTCATCTTATATTCTGGATTCTGATGATTTTTTGTTTATAAACAAAAAATCATCAGAATCCAGAATATAAGATATAAATATCAAAGCTTTCTTTGGGAATAGAACTTTCAGTACCCTAATCGTGTCTTTAGATATGAAAAATTTTCATCTGCGGAATGCATCACTTTTGATAATGCTTCTTATTTTGTTCCATAAAATTTTGACACTTTCGAAGTAATCCTATTAAATCCATAAATATTGTAGTAATGGCAAAATGTATTATAATAATTGCATTATTATTTGTAATAATAAATTAATTTACTACCATTTAAGCCAAGATAAGAATCTCTGATTTCTTACTTAAATTGACTGCAAAGCATAGTTTACACAAAATTTTTAGAATTGGCCGAATCCCAGGGCAAGACAGTACGTGATTTACTACTTGAGATTTACAAATCATATGTGCATTAAATCACAGCTTTTAAAATTAGGATGGTATGCTAACACATCACAAAGATTTTTGGATTACATTTTGTCCTCGGTGGGTTGTTCACTTGACAGTGATACTGGCTGGCTCTCCCAACATTTTTTACTTCACCACCCTACTACTCTACCAAACATCGTGGTAAAAGTTGTTTGCCGGCCCAAAATTTTATTGGACTTGGTCCTAAAAAAATACACAAAAAGGTCGGGCCTCCTTTTTGTCGCACTCTACAGTCTACAGCTATTTGCCGCCCCCTTTGGAAGCAAAAAATACGTCGACCGAACGTTAAATTGGACAGGATAATACACAAATTGGGCGTTTTTGCTTAAAAAGCCCCCCATAGACCGATAGGATATACATTATACCCGCTGTCAATTTTCTGGAACTTGAAAT